ATTGAAGGTAGAGTCCACCTGCATTTTAGCAGATGATGATTATGTATATTAAGGTTTAAGAACATTTGATACCATTTAATCTGAGACCTAAAGTATGATCAGGAACTATTTAGATAGTGAAAGGGCAGGAAAAAAAAGTTATTTGCCAATGGCCTAGGTAGGTACAATGACAAAGACTAAGCAAGGAGGCATTTGATATGTTTAAAGAAGTTCAGTAGAAAAAGAGTCTAGGGCAGTATGAGAAGGCAGTGAAGAGGGAAAGGCAGGGCTGGCTCATTCTGTAACCTCCCTCTTCCATATTACCTCAAGAATAATATAAGAGGACTCAGCTTTAAACAGGAAGGAAATCCTGACACATCCTACAGCACAGATTTACACTGCAGAAAACACGCTAAATGAAATATGCCAGACACAAAAAGACAAATGCCGTAGGATTCCACTCATATGAGGTATCCAAAGTACTCAAATTCATAGAGACAGAAAGAATGGCAGTCTCCAAGGGCTATAAGAAGGGGGCAATGGAGACATATGTTTAATAGGTATACAGTTTCAGTTTTGCAAGAAAAAAAGAGTTGCAGAACAATGTGAATATACTGAACTACATTACTGAACTACAAACTTTAAAAACAGTTAATGTGGTAAATTTAATGTTATGTGTATTTCAGTTCAATTAAAAATAATAATAAGTCAAGTGCAGTGGCACATACGTGTAATCCCAGTGGCTTGGGAGGCTGAGGCAGGAGGATAGTAAGTTCAAAGCCAGCCTCAGCAAAAGTGAGACCTGAAACAACTCAGTGAGACCCTGTCTCTAAATACAATACAAAATAGGACTGGGGATGTGGAATAATAATAATAATAATAATAGATGAGATCAAGAGTCCTAAGTTGATATTTGACCTTGATTAGTGCTTTACTCTTTTTCACTGACACTGAATTCCCCGAGTTCTAGAAACAAAAGCAACCATTCCCTTCTGGACAATCAATGCACTATAATTATGAGCTCATTCTTCCTTTTGTTTAAAAAAAAAAACCAAAGTTGTAAAAGTTTTCCACACTGGAGAAAAAAGAAAGAGAAGAGAGAAAATAGAATAAATTAGCACTTAACTATATAAGAAATAGCAAACTGTCTCATGAAAAAAATTAATGAAACACCTCAGTTTTGGCTACAGATCATAAAATATCTGAAGAGAACAGTTAGCCCTGAAAAGTTTTTGCTTCAAAATCTTTTTCTTATAAAGGGCTTGATTAACTTTTTCACAAAATAGTAATCTTGAAGTTAATAAATAGTCTCATTTTGGAGCAATGTAACTCAGTAGTTCCCAAATCAAACACTTAGAATCCTCTAAAATTAGAGTGGTCCCACTATAAGTCTATCAGAGCAAATGATCCAGCAGCAAAACAGGAACTATATGTTTTCTTTTATTTTTTAAATATTTATTTTTTAATTATAGATAGAGACAATATCTTCATTTTTATTTTTTTGTGGTGCTGAGGATCAAACGCAGTGCCTCATGCATGGTAGGCAAGCACTCTACCTCTGAGCCACAACCCCAGCCCAATTATATGTTTTCAAAGCCTCCAAGAATATTTTTGTGCATAGCCTATTTGGGGAAATCACTCAAAGTAAAGTCAGTGATGAGCACGGCTTCCTGAGTGCATGTTCTTATCTCTCTCTACCCTTTAATCTCTTTGAAATGATCGAACACAAAAGTATGAAAATGTCCACAGCAGTACTGGAAAATCAAGATGAGTTCTGTTGGTAAACTATACTAAATAATTTCTGGAGAATGTAAAAGCAGATGGAATCAGTAAAACCCCAAATTGCTAAAGAGCCTGTAATGGACATGATTATTACATTATAATTAAGGGTCACTGGCAGAGCCTCAGAACATTCCCTTGATCAGAGATAGCAAGCATTGGGAGCAGATGTGGGTCCACTGTCCAGATAATTATTGAAGGTAACAATTTGCTACCTTTCCTCAGAGTGGCTGACTCCCAAACTGTCTCCAGGTTGAAAATAATAAGAGAAAATGACAGTGTGGTAGGTAAGTTCTGTTGGCCAAGATGAATAAAGGAATCAACTCCCAGAAGGCAAGTCTCTGGGGTACACATATTCTAAAGAGAAGTCTCACTACTGAGTAGACATCCTCCTCCCACCTTTCTCCCTACATCCTCTGCAGGCAGAGATTCTGCATTCAGAATTATTTGCATTCTCAAAGATTTTAGAACTTAAGTTGAAAAACAAATCTATCTATTAGTCCCTCATTTATAAATATGAATTGCCAGTCAAAACATTATAGAAATAAAGAACAAACTTTTTTTTTTTGTTTTTAAAATAATATATCACTACAACTAAGTTTAACACTTCATTAATTGTATATATGTAAATATATATCATGTATAAACATACAAATGTATATATTAACTGTATTATAATTCTTTATTTGTGTCTCTGTCTTCCTCATTAGATTATGAATGTTCTGAGGATATTTAATCAGAAGCACTGGTTCTATTGAGATACACAGATAGACATGGGCATGTCATTCAGTCTCTAAATGTATCTTGCATGCCTACTGATAGAACTAAGCACATTGTTATAATATCTGTAGACAAGCATACAAAAGAGGTCTGTCTACCATGCTCACAATGAACTCTCCATTCAGTATAGGTATCTATTCATCCTATGTTGGAGCACTATAAACTCTATTGGGTGTCATTATATTTCGTGATTTTCTGTATTTTCACAGGGTACCTAATAGTCGATGTGAATGGACCACTGAAAATCCAACAAATTAGTGAAAACCTAGGAAGTTCTAGAATAATTCAGTCAATTTATTTTTGTCCCCCCAAATGGTTACACATTTGGATATTTTTATTTGTTGGATGCTATCTGAGGGTTCTCTAGTGAAAAAATCTTAAAATGTGTTAAGTTTGGGCTTTACTCTGCTGTTTCTACTCTTCTTGACTTATGTTATTTCTGGGCAACTGAACTATAAAACCTGGCAACTCTATTATGCTAGAACCTAATAAGGCAATGGGTCCCTGAAAATACATTACAATTGTCACTCCAGGTTATCTGCTCACTCAGCTATCTGAAATATTTGTGTCTTTAGTAAAGTTATAGAAATATTATCAAGGCTTGCGCTCTCTGATTTTTCCCCTTCAGGCCTAATTTATTCACTATACCATCTCCTGGACCACATGTGTCAGCAGGAAAGAAAAGAAACATACTTTGTCTCAAAAGCAGATCAGCTAGAAACACTAGAAGAAGGTATGAGACTATGCCAAAACATAATTAGTAAGAGAAAGAGAGCCTTTAAATTGTTGACTCATTTATGTCTCAATTTCTTAAGAAATCATGCTTTATTTTAAAACTTACAAATATCTAACCCATTAATATTTTTATTTTTTATAGATAGTGTCTTGCTGTGTTGCCTAGGCTATGTTCAGAATTGTGACCTTCCTGCCTCAATCTCCAAAGCACCTGGGATTATGGGTGTGTACCATCCTGCCTGACAAAAGAAAAAAATATTTATTTATGGTTCTGGGCTTCTACTGCTGGGTAGATAAAAGTCCCCTCTGGATTTTGAGAGCTAGAAGTTTAAAAGTGTAGAAGTTCTCTCCTAGAGACTTGGAGCATCATGAACCTATAAACTCAAATTTATATCTCTGTTTAAATTGCTTCCTATATACAAGGCAAAAAGTAAGGTAAGTGATTATTTCTCTCACATCACAGTTGAAGAAATTTAACGGTTTGAAGTACCTTAAAAATATTTTCTCTTCTCTAAAGAGTTGTCAGTGCTTCAGGTAGAAATTCCATAAATGAAAATTGAGTGTTTCTTTCATTCTTTTTATTGAAAAGAAACCCTATCTCGGCAAGAAAATCAAAAGGCAGACAGAATACTGCATTCAATAGAGGCTGAAAACAATATGAAAAGTCTATCAGAAAACTTTTACCATAGAAGAGAAAAAAAAAAGATTAAGGGTATTTTTTGGAAATAATACCTCTACAAAGATCACCAACTTGAGATAATACCTGTCTTTCAGAGATAAAGTGCAGGGAAATGGTTTGTTTTAACACACGGATGATGGATGAGGAAAGAGGTGAACAGAAAAACAAAAACGAAACTACATTAATTTTTAATAACCAGATGCAAAGAATCAGAAAAAGATATACTCTAAACTTTTGTATATTCTAATTTTCCCTCTTATAAAAGCAGGTTTAAAGAACAGCCTTAAAGTGAAACTAAAGAACTGGGGACAGTCATATTAGCCTAGTTCAAACAAAGTAGTTACAGGGAAGAAAAAGATGGAAAGAATTAGGGAAGAAGTAGTGGTCTTTCTGCATTGGAAAATCTTTATGCCTCAGTTTGAGTTTTGAAATTTGCCACATTGACACTGAATAAGATATCATCACAATATAAAGAATGATAATACTTTAAATATCTGAAACACAAAATTTATGCATATATGTATATATATATATATATATATATATATATGCTATCTTTTAACAGAATAAATTCTAAGTGGAGACACTAAGTTGGAAGGCAGTTATGGCCTAATTAACATGCAGCTCAGTGACAAATATAGCCTGCTTTATCAAAATTGCTTAGTAGCTATAGAAATTATAGATTATAATTTATGAAAGAAATTCTAATTCAACTGACTAATGCAGTGAATGTCAAACAAAGGACAATAAAGTATATATTGAAATTTCCATATACAAATGTTTTACTCAAGAATAACTAACTCTAAGATATAATTAAATAAAAAGCATATGCTATATCAATTTCATCTTTGTAGCAATAGAGGCAATAATATATAAAAGAGCTTCATTTTTCTGCAAAGAACTTTGTCATAAGATTGTCCTATCATTTTCAAATTTAAAATCTTCCTTGTCAATAAAATTCTCCAAGGCATTTACAATTTCAAATTAAAGTGCTCAAACCCACACAATCAAGTTATTAATAAATGACAAGTTGGGAGTTTTCACTTACCTAGATATATTATTGAAGCTGAGAAACAGACGTTGGAGGCAGGGCAAAGTATCCACATCTCTCTAGAAGGAAAGAGAAAGCAAAAATATATAAATTGAAAGAAAAAAACCTATTATAAATGCCTTCTTGCCCAGCTGTTGAAATATATAGTCATTTCTATTTCTTGCAACCTTACTACACCATTGATTTCTACTGGACATTGAGCTCCATTCTTCTCCACTGCAGATTAAATGGGAGGGTTTCAGTACATCCGCAGAACAAGCTGCACCACTCGCAAGGTAAAAAGCACTGAAGAGAACAGAGAGAGAGAGATGCTGCAGCTAGCCTCTTTAAGCATGCTTTTGGGAAAGATGCCAAAATGCTACTTCAGCATTTACTGTAGCACAAACACAGAACGATCAGACATTTGTTAAAAGTCACTTTTAAAGGAAATCATTCAAAGCTTTATATTTTATATTTGTACAATTAGCCTTTCAAACAATAGTAAGAATTTCAGAGCTATTCACCTCATTATCCTTAAACCTTTGGAAATACACCACTCGGTTATAAATGAAACAATACACTGACAATTCCCCCCATAAAACTAAAAGCAGGTCATAGTGTTATTGAAGGGCACTATAAGGTCAATTTCCAATCTAAGCACACATCAAAGGCTCTTGTGGTATGATCAAAAATTTGTTAAAAGCCCATCACTGCCATTTAAATAGTTTCCCTCAGCAAATACTGAAATGCTTGGGCCCAAACAATTTTTAAAAATAAATACAAAATGAATACAAGCAAAACTACCTAATTTCATTAAGCAAAAATACACAAACCTTTGGAAATGAAATGGATACAGTAACAGAATTGTAAAGAGAAAGCTTAGTAATTACCTAATCTAAACCTCATAAATATGAGAAAAAGTGAACAGTTGAGGTTGTTTATAGGAGCAGGAAAAGGCTGAATGTGAAGGTGAAAGCCTCTACTGTCCTAGAGGCTGAGATAGGACAAGATTCCAGTTAACCTCAATTCCAGAGCTCTGATCTTTAGAACACTATAGTGCTACTTATCATATAAAATACATTTCATTTTTAAGGATAGCATCATTTATAATGATTCCTAGTTATATGAGCTATTTAAACTTTTCAGTAGTGGTACTATGTATACTCTTGTCATCCCAGCCACTCAGGAGGCTAAGGCATGAAGATCATAAATTTGAAACTAGCATTGGAAATTTAGCAGGACCCTATTTCAAAATAAAATAAAAAGGACTGGGGATGTAGCTCAGTAATAAAGTGCTTGCCTATCATGGGCAAGGCCCTGGGTTCAATCCCGAATACTAGGGGGGGAGGAAATTGTTTTATAGTTTCCAGAAGTGAATATCTTTCTTCCTCCCTATCATTTCCAAGACCTTAGTAAGAGATTTGGTAAGTGCATTGAAATTATATGAGCTTAATTACCTTTACCCCAAATGCTGCATTTGTTTATTTTTTAAAACTTGTTATACAAAGAAAATATGAAGTGATAGAATTGTGACACGTTATTTCTTAATGATCACAGAATTTCCCCTAGTGGATAATGGGTTTTACATGTCGGCAAACTTCTTAAATCATTACTTCCAGCAACCTCTCTCTGACATTCCCCAAATGGAGGAGTGAATAGTGGTAGGACTCATTTTTATCCACGGCTCTCTTTCCCACAGAAAATGGCAGCTTCCTTTTTAACTGGTCTCTAGAAATGTGCAAGCCAAACTATAAGCCCTCCCTGTACTCTTGGGAACCTCTTTTCCCAAATTCTTTCTGAAATCTATTCCTGAGCATAAGCACCATTGCTGATACCTAACTGGGAGAAACTGAGAAACTGTAGCCTAGATGTCCTTTGAATCAAGTAATCTTTTTTAAAAATTATATTTGTTTCTTTGATCTCTGATATACCTCCTTCAGAGACTATAGACATAATTTTTGCAATTGAATTTTAATCCAAATTATATCTATGATTTGTGAGAAAAGGTTTTTTAAAAAGTTTATTTGATAAAATTATAATGCTTTGAATTTATCTTCATTTACAAAACAAAATGTTATCAGAAGTCCTTATCAAATCTTCAAAATCAATAACTGTCATTACCTGATAGCTATATAAATATTCACAACAAATTGAAAACTAAAAATCAGAATTCAACTATATGTTCCTATAATCACATTTAGTTAGCCTTTCCAGAAATTTAAAAAGCAAACTAATTGCCCATAATTATTTTTCTTGTTAAAAATTTCACTTCTGTGAAGAAAGAGCTTTATTTTTTTCTAGCAATTCTGAAACAATCTTTTGTTAATGAAATTCTAGAACCATAATAGATAAAAAGAATGCCATATTTATTGCATCAATTATCTATGTATAAGTTCTTTTTAGAAAAAAAAAAAAGACTTGCTAAAAACTACTAAAAGATGGGTCCTCTAATATGAGAGAGTAAATCATAGAAGGGGAAAAAAAATGTAAAGTTCAGTCAGTAGGCTTCACCATCCTGGACAGGCAAAGAAAAATCCAAGAATGATGTGTATTTGGCAGGCCTGAGAGCCCCCAGTCCACATCAGAGGTAGAGGACATAGGGCTCCAGAGGGAGAACTTCAAATGGGAAAATTTAGACTACCTGATGTCTTTTTCTATACAGAGGGGGATTTTATTATACTGTTGGAAGGGTGGATATTAATCAATGATAGCTAAACAGAATCCTCCATTAATGAGGAACATGAGATATTATTAATCTCAGGGAAAATGAAAGTTTAATACCATGATCTCCACTTTAAAGCTTCACCTTGCTGTATTCTCCAATCCTAATCTATATCATAAATTTACCAATTTTAATTAGGCTCTTACATTGAAAGACCCACCCTAAACTAGAATCTCAAGAAATCTCAAAATAAATGTGCTGCCTTTGTCCTCAAAGATATGACTAGATTACACCAAGGATTCTGCTTGAAGCTTGGCTTTATCAATGTTATTCTGGTGGTGAAACTATCATTCTTCAATCTGCTTATCACCAGAATGAAACATAATTATTTTAGGAAGATAGAGAAAGGAGAAATGGGGATTAAGGATTATGTAAGGAAGCTACATCTTTTTATCAACATATTTATTTCACCGTCAAGCATTAAACACTCCCAACATCACTTCTTCTCCTTCTTCTTTTTGTAGTTGTAGATAGACAGAATGCCTTTATTTTGTTTATTTTTATGTGGTGCTAAGGATCGAATCCAGTGCTTCACACATGCTAGGCAAGCACTTTGCCACTGTGCCACAATCCCAGCCTGCAACATTTCTCTTGTGGAGGTAAATATTTCACAGGCAGAGAAACTACTACAAAACAGTCAAACTGTTAACATCCCTAAGATGAGAAAAAAGAAGATGAAATAAAATGTTTACATATAAGGGAGCATTTATAGGGGAATATTTATAGCTCCTATTATTAATCTTATTAAAATTGTCAATTTTTTTGCATTTAGCAAAAGGATACTGAAAAATCACATTGAAAATATTTTTTGAAGTAAGACTTAGAGCCATTTTATTTATTTTCAAAACATAATCCTTTTAAAAATAGACTTAAATAAAAATTATTTGCTATAAGGTTGTTAAGAAGATTTTAATTCTTTAATTTTCAGGAGAATAATGACTTGCCATCTGAGGAACACGTTTGTCTAGTCTGCTTAGACACTGTTTTCCATATTCCTAAACTTTGTAAATGAACTAAATGACTCAGCAATTTGACCATGTGTGGAACATCTATTACTAGAGCTATTTTTGGAATAGCTCCTGCAGAGTAATAAGGAAGAAGCAAGGTGAAAACACATGGGCATACAACAAACAGGATAAAAATGGCTATAAGAAAATCATAAGTAAAAAAATAAAAAAGAAAATCATAAGTACTCTAATTTTTTATACAAAAAAAGACAAGAGTAAAAATACATAGAGATAATTATTTTAATTTTAAGAACCATAAACAGATTCTTAATCTGAAAACAGAAAAAAGTATTCCTTTTCATAAAAAGATTTATTAAATTAATTCCAAGATAACTGCTTGCTCTAGTCATTACTTTGCAACACAAGCACATATGAGATGAAGAATAAAAACTGTAAGCCATCTTATCAACTATTCTATTCATACATTTAAATGCCAATGAAAAAAAATCCACTGTCTGGCCCTGTTACCCAAAGGTATAAATGGGCTTCTCTGCTTTTTGTACTATTACATGGCAGTGCATATCAGTCAACCCAGCTGTATCCTATTCTTCTAATCTGATTTTCTTCTATACATGGTTGTAATCCCTGAAGAAAAATTAAAGGGGAACTAAAAAGAAGAGTAGTAAGCAGGCACTGATACACTGAATAGGAAGATTTTCAGTCTTTATAATCTAGGACAGCTAATTTGAACAGTTATGAGAAAAGAGATTTTTTTTAAAAGCCTCAATTTAATAATAATAAGCCTTCTTCATTTGAATTTGTAGTTTGAATTTATATTATGGGAATGATCTAAGAAAATCCCTTACAAAATGATGGAACCCTAGCATTTATGTCTCTAAGACTTCTAGCAAAACTGTTTGGAAAGACACAAACTCAGGTTTTGCAGTCTTCTGACTATCCCAAACTACTGACCTATAAAAAAAATTACCATGAGCAATATTCAGCAGAGATTTTAGGCATCAAATGCAGAACTGCCAAAAAATTAAAAGAATATAATTATTCAATAAGGACTATGGGATATCTATATTTAAAATTATTAAATACATGAAAGAAACCAAAACATGAGAAAAAATAAGGTCACCAGAACTAAATAAATCAGGGCATTTACAAAAAAATCAATGCAAAACTTTTAGAAACAAAAAATTGGTCATTATTAAATACTCAATATACTGTAAAGGCTGAAAAAGCAGATTAAACAAGCTAAGGAGAAAGTGAATTTGAGGGTAGAAACAAAAAAATTAATGAGAATGCAAAAATGCAACATACAGAAATTAGAATAGTGGAAATTTTATAAAAGAGAGATTAAGAAACAAAGGATAGGGGATCCAAGATGGCAGGCTAAAGGGAGGCC